AACTCATACCTAAGAACAGCAGCTTCTCACAAGGTTTTGTGTAACCAGAGGAGAAAGGGTATCAGTCTCCTGTTACTTAAAGACAGTGGAGATGCTGAAGATTCATTCATATATTCACATCTATATTCTTTCTAATAGTGACTGATAAGAATTAAACTAAAATACCATTCTGGTCCAAAGAGCTAAGCAGCATTTTCTTATAAAAGAGGCACAGTACAAAACATAAGACAGTGTTAAGACAAGATCGAGCCTTAACCAAGTCTGTCCTCCCATTACTGAATGATCAAGAAAGGGTTTTAATACTGGGATATATTGCATTTTATTATTATTTCTATTATTTTGTTTCTTGTCCTAATGAGTGTGAAGTATGGACTTCTATTTTTTTTAACCACATTCCCCATCAATCTACATATATAATTACCATACGATGACTTAAGTTCCAGTAGGTAATCAATAAAGGTTTTCTTTTAAAGTTCACCTTTGATTCTGCCTCAGCCACAAAATCACCTCCCGTCACCACAGCCCAAGTTGACCTCTCCTACCTCTGAACTTACTCAGGCTTATCGTGTGAGCCATTTACTCAACATCTATCAGCAGCTATTTTGTATTTTTGTCTTTCTGTCTATACATCTTGTCTCCTCAACTAAGTGAGTACCATATATACTGTATTAATAGTAGTGGCCCTCTTAACTCAGCAGGTCTTAGCCAGTCAAGTCAATCACAAAAGTCAGTTAGGTTTGAAAATGATACAAGTGGATACACACCTATACCATTTAACTTAAAATATATACATATACGTTAACTTGCCAATCTTCTGAAATATGGCTGAAGCCTATTCCTTAAATACATCGTTGTAACTTTAGCCCCCAGCATAATACCATAAAGCGTGGAGACTAAGCTCAATAGCATCCTCCGTGGTGAAAGTCAAACAGATCTGCAACACATGGCACCTTAATTCTCTTATATACCACCAACTCTACACGTGTTTTATACTCTCCCTTCATAGAATATCACTGAGGGATATTTTTTCTTTCTGCCTAAGGTTTAAAATTCTAAAGGTATACCAGAAGGAATCCAGTTTCTGGGTTTGGAAAGGAGGAGATGGTTCACCATATCGGTTGGCAATGACAAGACCTCGTGGGCAGAAAATGAACATACTGAAAACAGAGTTTGTCCTGGAGCCTTGGAGAACATGATCCACTCCTCTTGACTCTTCAAACTCTACCAACTATGTGTGAACATTTGTCATTCTGGTGATTATTAAGTTGTGTGTGTGTGTGTGTGTGTGTGTGTATGGTGTGCATATGGGTATGCAAATAGCATAATTTTTTGACTGAATTATAAACTCTTTTTGTCTGAAATTTAAAATCCCATCGAACACAATGCTTTAAACACTTTGTCTATTCTATGAATGGGCCTGACTGTCTAATAGTTATCGACACACACATCAGTAGAAGACAGATGCTTTAGTTGCAGCTGGGAGGTAATGAATAAAGTCAAGTTGGATTCTTTACACTTACCATGTGATCTGAAGACAGGATATAAACTGATGGTATATAGGAGTACTATCATTTCAAGAGAAGGTTAAGAAAGGGCTGCCTAGTCATTCTGGCTTGATAAGGATGCTAGGCTTTTGAGCAATGTGGTCTGGAAAACAAGCTGTTTCCCAAACCTCCAGGGTTGGCTCCTTTGGCCACTGGAAGGTTTGAGCTCAACGACACTTAGAACAAGCCTGGGATTGCATGTGGTCTTCGCCCTGCCTAGAATGCAATTCTGACCCAATTCCTCTGCTTCACTTGCCTACCTCCTTCTTGTTTCCTTCATGTCTTAGTTTGTAAATATCTTCCTCTGAGAACCAATGTTGGTTCTTGCTGTGAGCTCCCTTGGGTTGCTGTGCTCAGGCCTTCCATGGTACTTTGCATCTTGCATTGCAATTGCTTGTTTGCATTCTGGTCTCCTCAAGGCCACACTCTGCTTCAGGAAAAGGCCGTTTTTCATTCACTACGCTTTTCCTGGCCCCCAGTAGAGTGTCACCCATGGTAGACCTTCATTATTTGTGGAACAAGTAAGTATTCATCACTTGGTACTTCACTGAAGATTTTTTTTTACAACAAATTAATAAAAATAATATCAAGCAAGATTTTTTAGAAGATACTTATAAGATTTCAAAAGAATTCTTATAAGATTTCTTTTTTTTTTTTTGAGACTGGGTGTCACCCAGGCTGGAGTGCAATGGGGCCACCTCAGCTCACTTCAACCTCTGCCTCCTGGGCTCAAGTGATTCTACCTGCCTCAGCCTCCAGAATAGCTGGGATTACAGGCACCAGCCATCACATTCGGCTATTTTTTGTATTTTTAGTAGAGATGGGGTTTCGCCTGGTATCAAACTCCTGACCTCAGGTGATCCACCTGCCTCAGCCTCCCGGAGTGCTGATATTACAGGCGTGAGCCACTGCGCTCAGCCATTAGATTTCTGATGTTTATACCAAGCTTTATTTAACAGGGAGGAAGTCAGTTTTTCTGCTCTTATAAATTTAAAGGCACTTGCTGAGAGAGAATAATGAGAGACCAAGAGCCCCGAAGACCTCGAGGAAGAAGTCTTTAGTATTAGGCAGAGGAGGCCCAAGACCACTGTACCAACTACAGAATCAGGTCCCTTCAGGAGACCCAGAAATGCCCAGAGGGCCTGGGTGAAATCTACTCATAGAGCAAGTGTGAAGGACACCACATGCCATTTGTTTTGCTTTCTTGGACGGTGATGTTTCAAATATTAAAGTATTGAGATACTGTCTTATGAAGAGATATCATACACATCTAGAGCTCTAAAGGCAGGTGATATGGTTTGGCAAATAGAACCAAATAGATGATTTAATGCTCTTGATTAAGCTGGCTTCATGCAGAAGGAAAGGGAGCACTGTATCCCAAAATAAAGAGTGAATTAAGATCGTGGGATGGTGGGGTTGGCATGCTAGTGAGCTAACACGAGCAGAAGAGGAACAGAGGCAAAAGTGAAGCTTGAGTTGGTCTTCAGAATTAACAAATGTGTTTTTCTAGAGAAGTAAATTATTACCTTTGCCATAAGGCATTTTCTAATTAACATAATACACTGAAATATTAGTTACACGTGACATTCTTTTCAGTCTCAGGAAGTAGCTTCTATACCGAGTGCTTCCCCTTGTGGCTTTGGCGTGTGCACTGTCCACATGGGAGAGAGCCACACTACCTCTTAGTGGTATGTAGCATAAAGCACTCCCAGTTCCTTCCTCATGTACTTACTGACCAAGCAAGAGGCTCTCTGGGACCTTATCAGACAAGAAAGAAGGGAATGTCCTAATCAAAGTAAAGAAAAACACTTCTCAACTATTCATGGACCCAGAAGATCTGCTATCTTCTTTCTAGAACATCAAGGTTTGTTGGTTAATTCATATAAAACTGTCAGCAAGTTTTTATGATGTTGATAAGGGAAACACTTCTTTTGATGTCTGGCCAGTCTAGTGACGAATACCCCACACCAACCAGGCACCAGAGATGGCACTGTTATGTAATGCAGGATGTGATTCTTGGATGTGAAAAGGCTGCCAGGGACAAACCACAGATGGATTTGAAATTCAACAGTCTGGCGAGACAGGACGGTAAGACTTAAACAAAAAACATCACTACTTGCCTAAATACTTTCAACTGAATCCCAGTAAAATTTACTTAAGACTACTTTCTTTTTATGTTCCAGGAATATTATCATTAAAAGTATTTCATAATTTGTGTTCATAAGCTTAACCAGAGTCAATGTTCAATGGAATAAGGCTAGATAAAGCCCTTGAAATTAAGCAAAATAATAAATTTCCAACAGATTATTAACACAGGCTTCTAAAACTTTTAAAGACTCATATATATGCAACTAATGGATGGTTATGAACTTCCAGAGCAGATGATTTTAAGTTACAATGGTGTGTTTAATAGGTCATCAAATACTCTTTTTTTCCTTTGTCTCTCAAGGATCTGGGTCAAGAACAGAGGAAGAAAATTCACTTTCATCAGTTTCTAAGCATTCAAATTGCCCATAGAACACACATTAGGTTTGACAAAATTTTACCATTCAACTTAGAGACGGACGTTACAAAACAGGAAATAGTACATTTCCTAAGGATTCCTTTCTATGCTGCATGGAGGCTTCTAGAATCTCCCCAAAAAATCTTTTCTTATGGAAGTTTCATTTCATGTTTGGAGGTATCTACACATCACAGCAGTAGTACTGAGATGTCATCAATCCATGACCAGGAATTTGTGAATGTTCTGGGAGTCACTGATAGACATGTATTTTGCAGGTATCTCAATCTACCATAGCAAATTCACTCTAGGAATCAAGGTCTCTAAAGAAGTCTTCTGGTAATACCATAATTGCCCCTGGCACATTTTGAAATTTCCAGTTGCACAGAGGCTGTGGGAATCAGCCAGCAGAGCAACCACAGTCTATGGCATCTCTGGGAATTATTCCTGGGTCTCTCTCAGAAATATGTGGAACCTACGATACTGGACATGTGAATGCCACCAGCCAAGTTCCCACTGCTGGAGAGAGTGCTGGGCTGAACAAGCCATGTGGGTTTTGGTATTCCTCCATGCTGGACTGCTCACGGGGCCAGTTGTAACCAGCAGAGAAAGATGTTCATATTTCTCTTTCATTATGATCTTGAGACAAAGCTCCCAAAAAAGAATAGTTTTCCCAGATATCTCTAATGATTAAAGAGGTCACCCCTTCTGGTTATTACTTTTAATTAACATTTATTAATAATTTAAAAAATCAAACACTGTGCTTATAAAATGGATGCATCTACCTGAGAAAATCATCCTATTTCACTTTACTAGTCATCATTTCTTTCTTTTTTGTATTTGTAAACCTTTCCTCTGCAGACTGCTGGTTTTAGAGTCACTATTTGGAGCCTAAGTGCTGGCTCTAGACATTAAGCTATACTAAAGTAAATAATATGGGTTTCTCTTTGTTTTACCTTTCTTATCTTCTGCCTTTTCCTCCAGAGGTGGTGTTTTTTCAGATACAGAGCCATTACCTTCTTCAGATATTACTACATTTTCCTCTCGGGTAGATTCCTCTCCGATGGGTATCATGTGCCCGTTTGAATTTTCAAAGTTAACTGTTACATCTCCATCTAAAATGGGAAAGAAACACCTAGATGTCTAACTTGCTGGCTTTCTTCAAAACAAGTTTTCCAGTTACTAGGATGGTAGACTTTGGGTTCATGTTTCAGTCCCTGGGAACCAAATACGCCCTGCACTGTTTCACCAAATAGTTTATTCAAAACAAAACAGTTAGAAAATTCTTAGTCTTGGGGGAAAACTACTATGGAGGGAGTATCTATGTGTCATTTCAAGACAATAGGAATGATCATTCTAATTATGCAAAATCCCAGGGCAGCAGAGGCCCTCCGTTCCAGTGCTTAGGTTTGGTTGAAGTCAATACTTATGTGTTTCTTTGTCATTCAGAAACAGAATGGTGAGAGGAATAATCTGGAAAACGGAATAAACATTTTAACAAGCACCAAAAACACAAGGTGAGTGCATATACACAAATAACATGAAATGTAATTCCACATACAAACAATAAGTGGGATAATATAAAAATTTCCAAGTACTACTGGTTCCAGAATATATTAAGTATATGATGTGCTAACTTCACACAGTATCATAACTCTTATTCTGTATTCAGGGAAAAGATGATAGCAAGGCTATTTTTATTTTCATTTCTTCATTTATGGAAAGATTAAACTATACTTAGGTAATTACTATATATAACCAGCCCAAAAGCCCCTAAGTTGTCCTAAAAATATTTTGAAAACATTCGAGAAAAAAACACCTGAAAAAGTAATCATAAAAGAATTTTAAAAAATCATAATTGATAAAATTGTGAACATATTATCAAAATCATAAGTGACTAATTTTAACTCCTGTATTTCCATAATTCCTACGGGTTTCTAAAGTGAAAGAGACTTGCAGAAATATTTAATTCAGAGATTCTTGAAAAGAATCTATTTTATATCTGGAAAAATTTATGAGGCTTTGCTACCATTGTAAAAGAAAAATTAACGATTGGAAGGTTTGAGCAAACTTTAAAAAATGCTTGATTAGAGTTCTTTCTATTTTTTACTACTCTTATCTTGGCAATCTTATAAAACAGAAACCATTTCCCAAGTTGTCATTAAATATGATTGAATTGCTTTGGCTCAACAATAAAATCCATTTGCCTTCTGAACAAAAACAGACATGACATTTTAATAAATCATAAAATTATGTCATTTTTAGAATGAAAAAGTAATCGTTGCTTAGTCATATAACTCCCAATAACCTATAACTGAGTCCTGTGTAAAACTAAAACAAGCAATAATTGAAGGCAATGCCATTACAAGTAAACCTTAACTAATAAAATTAAGATAAGAATTTTTAAAGACTATATGTCAAACCAAAGAGAATCCAAATGATTCTCAATTCTTATTATTAAATCCCAAGAAATTAGCTATAAAAAGGAAGAGAACACAATATATCCAGAAAAAGGAAAAATGAAGAATGGAAAATTCCAAAGAAAATAGAAAATCACTTGCTTATATATAAAAATCTTCAGTTTTTAGGTAACTCGAATATAAATTTATCTTTGTTTTCTTTGACTTTAGTTGGTAATAAAAATATACTGACATCATGTTATTGACAATTTAATTCTATTTTAAGCATTATGAAAATTCTTTAGTTAAAAACTGATTTTTTAAATTTAGAAAAAGCTAGAGAGAAATTTTAATAGTTGTGGCACAAGAAGAAATTGAATTATCACAGACAGAAGTAGTTGACAATGTGGAAAATACTTACTTTGAGGCATGAAATAAAGCTAGTTAATATGAAAATAACTGTAGAAAAAAGAGACACAGTTGTGATAAATATGGAATTCAAGAACAAAACAGAGGGGATGTAAAGTTATTAATTAGTTGGTGTGTATATTGAAAAGGTTTTCTAGTATTGTGTGTTAAGGAACATGTTTCAGAATTAAAACAAGTTAAATCCTTGATATGGTGTATGTGTGTAAGGAAAATCTACGCTGAGCAAAGGAAGGCAAGAGGGTGCTGAGCTGGATGGCAGTTGACAGTTAATGACCCAAGTCGATATGTCTCACAGGAGCAAAGGAAAGAGAAAACTCGAAACACAGTTGTAAGCTTAAAGTAAAATGAGAGAGGAAGCACAAACAGGAGCAAGTGGTTCAATAAGGAGCATGACGGTGTTTGAAGGGTGTTACCTTCTTCTAGCAAACAGGCGTATTGCGGATATATTATAGTCAAAGGAGGAAGAGATGGAAAGAGAAAATCATGTATAACCAAAAGGCGAGTGATAAAAGTCCACAGTGGGAGAAAAGGAAAGGATGGTAGACAGGCAAAAGCCGCCTCCACAACCTTATGTCAAAAGCTAAGGGGAAAGGTGGAGGGAAAGAAGCAGAGGTAAGCAGTAAACTTGGACAGACCACGGACTTCCCTGGAGAGAAGACAAATCACTGAACTTTTAGGTTGAAGGTATGTCTGGGTATAAAAAAGAGAATCTAAAAGGAAAAATAATAATAGTTGGGAGAGTATGGGATATGATGGGATGGGGTCTAACTCAGGACAGCTAGAGGGATTTTTAAAGTCTATCTGACTCACTGAATAAAGGGCTTGATGGACAGGCACTGTCAAGAGCAGAGGCAAGGTCAAGAAGATCAAAGCAAAGAACGAATCTTCACTGGCAGCAGAAAGGAGGTTGTTACCAAGAACAGCAGCTTCTGGTCTCTCAGACTGAAATTCTCCAGATAATTGCTTCTGGGAAAATCACAGAACTATTTTCTCCAGCATCAGCTGAATAGGGGAAGGACTCCATTTACCACCGACATCCTTAGGAACCTTTAACCATTAGATAATTTCTACAGTTCTAGACAGGGACCATGTACAAGTTGCAAAGTAAAATCTAGTAGTTTATGACTTCTCAAACATTAAGCCAATTATATTATGCTTAGGTTAAAAAATTGTTTTCTTCTTTTATGTTATAAAACCTTTAGTTTCCACTGCAAAAGTTAAATAAAAAGGTCAAAGAGAGTCAGATTTCTGAGAAGTGTACATCGGCCCAAGAAATTATAATCTATGAGGCAAATAGTTACACAGATTAGGCAGAATAAAAATCATTTCTTTAAATTGACCATTGCTACTTGTTTTTTAGAAAGAGCAAATTCCTTTTCTACCTACGAATTTTAATTAAGAAAAAAGATGGGCTTTTAATCTCCACCTTTAAACTCATTAACAGTTTCAATCATAAAATTTTCCATTTTTTACTTTCTTTAAAATATTTCTAAATAAATGATGTCTAATAAACGTATTGACCCATCTCATAAAGCTGATGGCCCAGTGCTAAGGTTTCAATGGGTATATAATTTCTCTATTGCCTTCAAAGACGTTGGACAGGAAATTAATTTTGATATTGCAAGCCTACCTTTAAGTTTAAAAAGTTAGAAATGTGCATTTTTAACTCTAAAAGTCTCAAACAGGAAATAAGTAGCTTCAAGGTAATAGAAAAATAGGGAAAACATAAAATTCATTCATAAAGTAGGGTAAGAAAAGTTTGACAGCCCAAAAAATACGAGGGCTTAAGAAAATGGTATTATTCACTCCAGAGATTCCTATTTTCTTTCAATCAGGAGAAAAACAGTAAAGCATTTTTCAGCTCCACTCTGGAATTACTCAGATGCTGGAAAAAGCATGTCATTTTGATTTATAAATAGTGAATGCCAAAAATGTTAAGTCCTTTGCAAGGAACATATATCAGGAAAACAGCTGTACTATTATTTCAATTTCAATTCTAAATTAATAGCATTTCATTTGTTCCCATAAAACTAAAATAATAATACTTTACTCCCAGTAAATGGGAGGGGAAGGGAGGCATAAGATAAATCAACAATGTTGCAACAAAATGTCTTTTATTTTTAAATTTAGGTAGTATTTATTTGAAGAAATAACCAATGTTAGCGTCTTCTTTTGAGGGTCAATACCGGTTTCTATCTGATCCTTGTCTTTTTTGAACAAAGTTCCTCCTTGGGAAGATAGAATAAAAAAAGAGAAGATCAGAGATAGGGGAAAAAAATAGAAATAATCATTGCTAGTGAAAGATTCAGAGAAATGAAAAGAGAACAATATTGAAAAATTACTTGAGAGAATGCAGAAAGCAGATTAGGTTAGTTTGCCTATTCATGCTTTATTGATTGTATATTTCAGTGTTATTATAGAGTGCAAAGGACAAGAGGTATGTGTGCCTTCTTTCTTCTCTTTCATTGGTAGTCTTAAGAAACAAATGGCATGAACCAAGCTAAAACTTAGCATTTACTCAAACACATAAGTTTAATGTGAATAGAAAGCCTGAAGCTCAAGAATAGGGAAGAGAACGCGTCATAAGCATTTGTATCTCATCCGCATCGGCCTCGGATGTACCTTTGCAGAGTTTTAGGTTTAGAATGACATAAGGTGACGGATTCACCAGAAAAGTCACTAGAGTTCTCTAATACTTCAGGTTCTCTGCAGCTCACAAAGGCATTAGCAATGAAGCAAGGCTCTTGGGAGTGCAGCAGTCATTGCTTCATCTTATAAAGCCCATGATCATTTTAAATTTCAAAAGAAAACAAAAGAAAGACCAAAGAATGAAGGACCAAAATATTTAAAATGTATGATTAATTTCCTCACCTTGATCAGGCAATTCCTTAAGAACTCCCCTTCTTATCAGCTCCTCTCTACTTTGTCTTGTGGATATCTTCCTTTCTAATACTTTTAAAAAGAACAAGCACAAGTAAGAATCAAGTCATTCCTTAAGATCACTTTGAAAAACATTCCAAGTAGAATTGAGCACAATTATTCTGCTCACATGAGGGCTCAAACCAGTTATCTTAGTTGCTCAACAAAACACGTGATGGGAGTTGAATCAACACGGCTACGCCAAGAGCAAGCCCAGCCGCTGTGCCCGGTCTTTCCAATGACCACCTTCGGCCTAGTGTCCAGACATATGATTCCACACCAACTACATACAGAGCATAAAGGCTGCTTCTTACTTTGAAGCTAGAAATGCTACATTCTAAAACGTATGATTCTATGGATATGCAGTGTATGATATGTATGCTTACATTAAAAAAAAAGCCACATAAACATTCAGTAAATATTCTGAGTAAGTCATTTGAATGTCAGGAAGACAAACTATTGTCTAGAGTTTTCTCTCTTGCTCCATCTATTACAAAAGCCCAACACATTATATGTCTATAACTCTTTCCCCTGTATTCTCACTAATTCTAGAGGGTTCTGGTATATTATTACCTGACAATCCCCCAGGTCTTAGGAGGATGGAGAAGGCAGTTAAGAATAATCTTTCTTTGGCCAGGTGCAGTGGCTCGCGCCTGTAATCCCAGCACTTTGGGAGGCCGAGGCAGGTGGATCACCTGAGGTCAGGAGTTCGAGACCAGCTTGGCCAACGGCGAAACCCCATCTCTAGGAAAACTACACAAAAATCAGCTGGGCATGGTGGTGTGCACCTGTAATCCCAGCTATTTGGGAGGCTGAGGCAGGAGAATCACTTGACCCAGGAGGCGGAGGTTGCAGTGAGCCAAGATGGCGCCACTGCATTCCAGCCTGGGCGACAAGAACAAAATTCCATCTCAGGAAAAATTAAAAAAAAGAATAATCAGTTTTCACAGACATGTAAAGCCATAGGCATCTTAATACCGATTCTTCCTTCTGGAAGAAATGTAAATTCCTGTTAGAACTTCAGAATGAGGCTTGGGAGCTCTGGAGCGGAATCTCAGTAGTGATACCCTTGAGTATGTACAGTATTAAATCCTGTGCTCTATATGTCCAGGCAACCACAAGGTCCATTCCTCACTTTCAGGAGCTAAGAACGTGCATAAAATTAACACGTGGTCATGTCATCTACTAATCCTGAGTCAACGTTTCCCAGTGTGTTCTGCAGAACTCTATTCCCTCCAGACCGTCTGTTCAAAAACGTACTTCGACACAGCAGAGAAGGGCCAGACAAGAAGTCTAGGGCACTTTGAAGAGCAGGAAAGCTACACTGGTAGAGAACAGGCAGCTCCAGGACAGGAGATTTCTGATGCTCCCTGATTCCTACTCCTGGCCTCATAATCTGCGAATCCTGTAACTACTCTAGAGAACATCATTTCAACTAAACTAAAGCCATTTCCCTGAACCAGGCCCTCACACATCCAAAGGGAGCGTGTGATAACACTAAGAAGACACTTTGATAACACTAAGAACATGTTTTCTCAGGGGCTCCAGGGCCTCAAGCAAGGATGCTGATGAGAGACAGGGTGGGAGGATGAGCCCTGGGCAGCCAGCTTTGTATTAAGTACACATTAGTCTTCCATCAGTGTTTGCTAATAGCATGCACCGCAGAACAGTAACACTTAGGTTCCAGAGTGAAGAACCTGGATTTTTTTCCTGTCTGATAACTAGAAATTGTGTATTCCTTTTTAAATCCTGGTTGCTAGAAAGATCACAGTAACACTGGGTATCTAACGCAGATTTCATATGACAATTCATGGATGGAATCTCCGTTTCCTCCTTCTCAAAAACCTAACTGGATTTATATTTTACGTACAATATATAAACCCTTTACTGTAAGTTTTGTCAAACTTTTGGATAGAATCAAAATAGAAACAAACAGGAAAATGAGTGAATGAATGAATAAATGGTCAAAAGAATGACAAAGAACAGCGTGTGGGTTAAAGAAGAGACATACACAGAAGCCTTCCCTCCTTTCCTTGAGAGTCCTCACTCACCCCATTTTTCTGTTCCTTCCAGAAGCAAGTAACAGCTCACTTAAAGGTTAGTAATTTCGATGAACAAAGTTAACTGGGCAAGAAATTGTTTTTTTACTGGGTGTTCTTTTATGTAAAAAGAGTGCTGTTATTTAAATACAGTTTCAATTTGTTTAGGCTCTTGTCAAAAAGGAGAGAACCCTTATCAACACAGGAAGCCAAAGAACACTCACAATGACAGGTGGAACGCCGCTGAGATTTTTGCAGGTGGTTTAGAAGGACCTTGACCGCTGTAGCCTCCTAAAGATTGTAAAAACCCATTCATGCTTGACTGGGCTCTGAGGAGCGGCAGGACTCTGCAGGCCCTCCAACAGTTGTCTTGGCCTCCATTCCCGGGGACAGGTCCAGGGAGTCACGGCTGCTCTGCCCTAAGCTTCAGGATGAAGGTGGCAACTGCAAGAGCAAGTGCCACTGGCCCGGCGATCAGGTTACATTCTCACAAACCAAATGCACTTCAATTCCGAATTCAATCGTTGTGCCTGTCTTCCTCATCAGACCTTTGCTCATAAAAAACAAAACTTTTTACTTGTTTGCTGCTTCTTTAAAATTGCCTATTGGGAGGCTGAGGTGGGTGGATCACTTGAGGTCAGCAGTTCGAGACCAGCCTGGCCAACATAGTGAAACCCTATCTTATAAAAAATAAATAAATAAATAAATAAATAAATAAAAATAAAAAATAAAAATAAAATTGCCTAAAACACAAAATGGCTGCCAGTAGTCCTGGATTCTAGTCCTTGAATTCCTACAACTAGTTGAGTGACCCTGGGCAGTCTCTTTGAGCTCCTGAGCCTCTAATCTATTACCTACAAAATAAGGGACAAAATTCAAGAATCCCTAAGGACAATGCATCCAGCTCAAATGCTGTGTGATTCTATATCATTAATCGAGGCTGTCTGTCATCTCTGCTTTGAGCACTTTTAAAAACTTTCATTCTTACACTAAAAAACCCTCCGAGAGCCTGGAACACACTGGCTTTCTTATTCTGCCTTTCCATTATGGATCCCGGAGGATTCTTTAGTTTTAGTTGTGAGTTTTCTCTTGCTTAAATTCTAATTTAGTCTCAGCTAAAAATTCCCCCTTTCTTCCTTGTAAACGAAAAATTCCCTCTTTCTTCCTTGTAAACGCTGGAGCTTTGAAGCAGCAGCCTTGGCCTCCTGCCAAGAATCAAAACCAACAGCTTTGTTCTTTTGCTCTGCCTCCTATAAACAGGCTCTGATAGGAAAATGCCGTCGGCTATTTGTTTGGTCTTTGGCTGAGAGCATCTGTAACACACAATGCGGATACCTGTGTACAGGGCCAATGAGAACAAACTGCAGACGACTGGGCATGGAAAGCATGTTGCTGGGGCACAAAATTCCAACCACCGCTCTCACGGCAGTACAAGTATCTCATTCTTCACCTTTTAAAATATTTGCCTCTTGTTTATATAGTGTCTGTATGTTTGCAGAGCACATTCACTGGACACTTTTTCATGGGCTCGGAGGGGTTTGCATTGCAATGAATCTGCGAGGTCATTCTAGTCCAACGCACTGCACAAAGCAGGGGCTATCTCAGAACATTCCTGAGATGTGCTCACCTGCTTAAAATCATTCAGAGGGAAGATGCTCACTTTAAGGCACGGCCCACTTCAGCATCGATCACCCTCATTTTGAGGAAGGTATTCCTGAGAAGGAGTCCAATTGCGCAGCCTGTAACTTCTGTGCGTCAATCCAACCCAAGTTCTCTGTGGCTCTAGACTAGAGGCAGTTGTTTGAGAGTAGAAAACAGCACGAGTTGGCTGTCAGCACCGAGAGCCTGCTGTTATGGCAGCCTGCTTGAATCTGATCCCACATATCCCACCAGCTGCTCTTTGACTTTGAAGCTCACACCAATCTACGCACCAAAATCTATGCACCAATCTATGCAACACAGCTACAGTGTAACCAAAATACGGCCAGGGAAGACACTAGTGGGCACAGATCGCTGAATGTCATAGCTGAATATAGTAGCCAAGGGGTCTCCATAAAAAGTATTATCACCAGTTGAGTAAATAAATGGCTCATGGCCTCTCACTTTTATCCCAATTGGAAAAGCATAAGAGATTTTTTATACCAAGATCAAGGAAAACCATGATTTCTGTTTCACGCTGCGTTGGGCTAATTGATATTTTGACAATTCAGTTCTGCTAACAATAGCACACACTCGAATTCTCTCTAGGAAGTGAAGGAAGCACTGCCCTGCATTTTCCTGACTTTATGCTTATACTTTGGTAGTCTTCTAAAGACTTCCCATGGCTGCCCATCTCACTTCCATTAGCCCCTGGACTCACCGCACCCCCTTAGGCTGTCCCTCCTCCCATGTGCCTGGCTCCCGACCACTTCCTTCTGGCTCATGGCTTCAATTCCTTGAGGCCCTGCTGCTTCTTCCCTGAGGAGTGGCCCCTGCACAGTGGCCTCTGTCCTTCCCAGGAGGCCATTTCCCCAGACACCTGCTAGTCTCATTCTACCATGTCCTACAAGTCTCTGCTCAAAGGTCACCTTAGTAGAAATCCCTTCCCTGAACTCCTAATGTAGAATGGCTATTCCCCTTTCCGACTTTCTCTCTTTTCCCCCCACAAAACCCATCATCACCTCCTAACATGTATAACTATAATCTCATTGGGAACCAAAATTCTGTTTTGCTTACTGCTGTGTCCCCAGCGTTGACTTGCAGGCTGCTGGCATTGAAAAAAAATGTGTATTTGTGCAATAAAATAAAAGAAAATAAGGTAATAATGGTAACGGTATTGTTTCTGCCCCTTCCCCGTCCTCAATTTGGGAGAAAGCAAGTGAGGCTTGTGGCAAAATCTGTAGAGACAAGCGTCTTCTGTCTTCTCCCTCCTCAATTCTTGGCTGGGCCAATCATAGGGAAAAACATCTCAACTCTCTGTCCTATGGATGATCTGAAAAAGGTCTCTGTATGCAC